CAGGGGAGCAGCCTGCCATAGAGAATTCGTCTGCTCTGCCCAAGTAGTGTTTGGACTAGTCAGAGAAAACGTTTTGAGTTGGGCTCATCTCTAAGTCAGTTAAAATAGTTCACGTCAGCTAGCTGAGGATGTGTTTCGCTCTGAAGTTAGGCAGTCTTCTCTAGAGAGAAAAGTGGGGTGTGACTTAATTAAAAACCTCTCTGTGGGAAAAAGACCTAATTCCTTTACAGCAGCTGCCTGCTACTCAAGGGGGAAGTCCCCCAGGTAAGGAGGAAAACATCCAAGTGTTAGAATTCCTCCTTGTAAGCAATTTGTTTTCCATTAATACTGCAGAACTCATGGCAAAACGCAAGGCACGCTCACCTCATACAGCGGTTTCTTCATGCTTTAGGCACTATAAGCAGCAAGGGAAACGTACACTCACTATCCCTCTCAAGGCTACTCCAGTTTATCAACTTGTATCGGGTGGATTTCCAAGTGGTCACTCTGCAAAACGCAGATGCCAGCAGAACATGACAGGACACGGCAGTGCTAAGACCTGCCAGAGAGTGGCCAGCTGTTGTATCCCTCTTTAAAAAGTTATTACAGAAATAAAAAGCAAACAACCGATAGTGTTAACAACCAGGGTAAAAGAGTCTTTGCCGCTAGATACTGTACACTGCAAACAAACTTCTAATAATGGCACAGGTCCTTTTTTTTTTTGGTTTAAAGAAGCTTGTGTTACTGTAGTTAACGCATGAACAAGACCATAGACTTGTTATTCAGCACAGAACAAGTCATCTAGAAGCTTCGATGTCCCAGGGTATCAGCGACTGTTACTACAAAGCCTGGGTTCTGTTTTCGGCAAACAGTCACCAAGTAAACAGTGAGGGATCCCTTTGGAAGAGTACATCTGGAGCACAGCCACCGCGGTGTGCAAGGCAAAGAGAAGTGATGAGCTGCCCGATTTGTTTACAGAAGCTTCTTGTTACTAGGCTGTCGAGATCTACTGCGGTAAACTGAACACCTCAAGGTTTTAGTCACAGGTGCTGCAGGGCTTCTTGTCCTTGTTCGGTGTAGGAGTCAGCTTTATTTGAGTTTGACCATTCTCCAAAAGTATCCTGGAAGTGGACATGTTTCTGTGATGCCTGCATACGTTTCTTATCACGAGAGAAGAAACTAAACCTTCCGGGAAGGGAGGAGTAAGGGAGGGGAGGGAAAAGAAAGAAGACTGTTTACCATCTCAAAAACACTTCAAGCACCCGACACGATACACAGCACAACAAAACACAGAGCAAAAAAGTCTGTTTGCGTCTGCAAAAATCAAGGCAGTGAAGCCCAATGGGAGCACATGTCAAAATGTTGTTAGAGATGAAGTCATTGCAATCTCAAGCGGTTTGGCTACGGAAGCTTCAAATAAGCTCTAAATGCTGTTGACTCTACAAGGTGCAGGTATCATTTGAGATGTATATTCCCCCTTCCCCAGCCCCGAGATACAGAAGCAACACAACACGGGTTAGTTTCTTGGCGTAAGTAAAGTGGTATCTTTGGCATCAGATCTGTATGATTTACCATAAAGCAGAAATAGAGAATGTTTTTAAGAGTGTCAGCAGGGAAATTCATAAGATAAGAAAATAAGCCTCCACATTTTTTCCAAGTGTGCAGACTTTGATAGCTAAGACTCGATTCCTGCAAAAATAAATGAATAAACGCACGTACGTGCCCAGGAGTTTGCAGGATGAAGGCTCTAAAGAAATGCACACAAGTGTGCACGTCATTTCCTGTCACACAGCTCGGGTGCTCTAAGATAATGACGTACGTGAACCAACAGCCATTTAATACAACAACAAATTGCCAGCTGACAACAGAGCTGAAAAAGTACGGTTGGAAAAATCCTTAATATCGTTTTATTTGTATAGGATGAAGTTACTTGATTAGGCAAAGTCAACGTTCGTTATGAGTTCAGGACAAGAGGGGTTAGCGCAGTGTTTAGGTCTGCTGAGAAATGCAAAAGTTGTGGTTCCAGCTACCAAAGGTTTGACTTTGGTCAAACTTCAGGACTTCAGGAGCTCAACAGTGTTTTGCTGGTGCAGCACCAAGCAGAATGCAGTTCTG